TGTCAAATAACAAGATGCTGCTGGTTTATCAGAAACGTGGCCATCCACGAGGAATTTAAAATACCTCAGGTGAAAAAGTACCTGGCAGAAATTGCCAAAACTTTTTTCTGAAAAATTGCAAGTGTTGAAAACATAAGTATTCCAGAACTTGATTGTGATTTCAATGACATTAGTTACACCAGAAGTGGTGGTGCCTTTTTAAGGGCTCTGAACTAATGTTTACTAACGCTTTTCATGAATATATCGTAAAACTCGTAATAGTTGCCTCAGCTCGGCTCTAAAATTTTTTAAATAAAAATTGTCATTATTTCTAGCATTACTCTTAATATATGAATGCAGTTACTTAATTATCATTTCTAAGTATCTTGATAAGTAAAATCTCAGTTTTGAAATTATGTTAAGTTTTCCCCTCCCCATATTTTGGCTCAGTCAATCTCCATAATGCATGGCTCTGAAAACCTGCCACCTTAAATTGCCTTCCAGTAGTTTTGCTGCACTGTGCTATCTCTCTCCTCCAATCTCCTTAGCTTTCCAAGCCAGCTGACCTCGTTTCGTAGACCGTCCACGAACAACTCTCTCCACCACTCCAGCCACTGATGTCTCTGCGCGAGGAACTGCTCTCCGTAGTATCGAATTGAACATTGTCTTTTCACAGCATCTACATGCAAGCTCAATCTTCAGCAATATAATGCTTAATTGCTATAAATTGCTGTACTACTGCTGCATACAACTACAGGTAAATGCTGCTCTTCCACGTATTGCTACTGGTTTTTCATGAATGCTTCACATTCAGAAATTTCGTTTCTGATAATGCTAAGCTCACAAAAAGATATGCTTAAAACTATTTCACTAACTGCACACAGAGTAGGGCGATGCCCAGGAACCTGGTACTGCGACTTCATCACCTGATCTAGGCACACAGCATATCAATATTTCTTTGGTAAATGCATTTGTTAAAACTTAAAGAGGAATGCAATATCAAATAGTGTGCACCAGGGACAAGTGGTGAATTTGAACACTGGTAGTCCAACTGATTCCATTCAGATGGGCTGTCTGCATGATCGTTTTCCCCCATGTGTAACATGGATAGGAGGCTGGTTCCCTTAATAAGTCCTCCACAAAGACATCCCTTAGACAGATGGCCCCTAGCATGTTTTGCCCGAGTCAAATAAACCAAACTAATAATGATTTATTATTGGCGACACGCCAGAGGAACACATCCTAGAACACAGCAAGGTTTAACAGTATTGCCGAACAATGCAAGGTAAAAGTTATATTGCCAAAATATTATTAGGAAATTGTGACTTTTAACAGTAGAAGTAAAGATATAACTATAATTATGCAATGACCTGAACCAAAGTCATAAAATCCTTATAGCGTTTTCAGAAATATCCTCAGAGAGGAAAATAAAATCGGGCTTAATTGCAAGCACATTTAGCTATCTGAAATGCAATAAATCAGTCTTTTGTTTATTTGTTAGACATTTAAGGATACTTCCAGACCATAAGATCATAATATTCCCAATTGATGTCATGCATTTTAAATTATTGCACTAAATAAACTTGTTTGAAGTGCTAAAGCCATCAAAATTCAGGCAAATTTCCAAGTGGACAATAGCAAGAGAAAAGAGAGGTGTTCAACTTAGGGATTTCTGAACTGTTTTAAAATATGTTTGCTAAAAAAAGCAAAAAGCTTATGATACAGCTCTATGTTGCATATTACTGTGTATAGTAATAGCCTTAATCTATCCCCCTCTCCATTCTTATGAGAGATATCACTGGCTTTCTGCTGAAGAAAACTTAACATCTGTTGTCCTTAAAAGAGTGTCTCAAATTAGATGCAGTTGGGAGGGGATTCCAAAATTACAAAAACTTCTAAATGCCTTGAGCTCACAGCAGTAGCAGATTATGGATTATTCAGGATGCATTAAAGGGAGGCCTGCTGTTTTAGGCGCTTTAAAGAAAATACTCATTGCATTTAAAAACAAATATGAGTTGATTGACTACTGTTGTTATAGCCTATATTTCCAAAGCGTCCTATTCAGTATTGTTCTTTATAGAAATGCGTTTATATCTCTGTTCTACATTGTTGTGACAAATCAAGTTTCTGAATTCTATGCTGAAAAAGATAGGAGAGATATTTGAGGGAAGACATTTGCAAGTAAATATGATATATATAGATAATAAAATTTTAACTTTTATTTTTAATAGCTCCTCAAATCTGTTTTTCAATTTGGTTATTCCCCCCCCCCCCCACACAGTGTTGTCAGATTATGCGATTTTTCGCAAATTTGTGACTTGACAAACTAGTGCTAAATTATAAAATTAGTGCTAATTATAAAATTTTTAGTATTTGCATTTTGCAAAATTTTTGCGACATTCATCATTTTCTTATGCTACATTTTAAGACTTAAAAAAAGATTTTAATATATCGTAAAATGCTTTTATGTTAAAATAATGTATCAGTTAAATATAATGTATATTAAAAAAAAAAAAAAAACAGTTTATATTAGTACAGTCAAAAGTCGTTAATCCGGACTCGTCGGGAATTCGGCGATTCCGGATTATAGATCATCAGTTTAAGTCTGGCAAGATGGCATGTGGAAATTATAAAATTAAAAATATGAAACCGTAATTTATGAAATAAAGAACAATTATGATCTAAAGGGTATCAAAATTTACGAAAAAAAAAAAAAAAAAAAGCTTAATATTTATTTGTTTACTTTATTAAACATTTCTTTCAATGTAAGTTGTTTAAGTTACTGCGTTTTTTATGTGATAATACATTCCTCTTTAATTCTATAAACAGACATAATTTCGTGTTCAGTTACAAAGTTCCGCTGTTCAAGTCCTATAATTGCTGTGTCAAGAATACCGACTAATTTGTCGATCGACATTTTTTCGTTTTCAATAACCTCTGTTACTTTCTTCGCTATCGGAAGCGAATTATAATGACGAATTTGATTTAAATCATATCAGAGGCGGAGTACATCGAGATGAAATACTTCATTTAGTAAGGAATTATAAGCCAAATAAAATAAAAACATCTGCCCTGAAGATAAGGATAGTACTGACAGATCAACTTCCAATTCATTGCGCGCCGTGGCGTTAAAGATAAACAAAGGATATGCCTTTTTCCATTTTTTGCAGCAATTCCACTTTTTGTTTAATGAACTTCGAAACATACTTTCACTTTGTAGATCCTTTACATATTAGTAAATATATATCAGAAATTCTATTTGACATAATTGAAAGTTCAAGCTTACTTTTGTAAAATTGCTCTAACAGTCTGCAAAAAATAATAAGCCGAATCCAATTCAAAGATTAAGGAACAACGCAATCTGCAACATTAACTGAATTAGATAATTTTAGCTCAGCTTATAACGTCCGTTATACATTAAACGCGCATTCGTAAACCTAATTTGCGGACGCACATATTCGCAGCCGTAAAGTCTTACGCGCATGCGTCAGTGTGACGCATGCGCAGAAAGTTTGTAGCTTTGAGGTCTGGATTATAGATCATTCCTGATTATGGGTGTCTGAATTAACGACTTTTGACTGTAGTTAGTAGTTAAGTAGAAGTTGGCATCTGGCATTCTTGTCTACGTGTGGACTTTCCTTTTCAAGGCTGCATAGCCTGACGGCAGTATAACGAGAGGGGGTAAGGGAAGGGGAAAGGGGGAAAAGAAAGAAAAAACTGCTTTAGAATTTCTTATCATACCTCCTCATCTTCCATCTATTTTGTTTTTAAGTCAATTCCATCACCTAGTTATGTGGTGATAACAAATCGAACAATAGAACTTGCAGCTTGCCTACCATATATTGAATACCCAAACAGAGTAAAATTGAAATTCACTCTCCTGATTATAATATTTTTAAGAATTAAGCAATGGAAAATGACTTAAAAATCAAAGCAACAGCATTTTTCTAAATAAGAACACAAATTTAACAGTGGAAGAACAAGACTTTCTTAAGCAATCAGAATCTGAAATAAATCTACCACACTGAATGGAAATCTCACTGAAAAGAGGTCCTTAATTAAAATGTTCACAATTAAACACACAGACAAAATAATAATAATAATAATAATAATGAATTAAAAAAAAATTAACTGCCAGCTGAAAAAATTTGGTACAAAAGTGCTAACGGTCTAAAACGTGAGGGATCTCTTAATAATGGATATGGACAAATTAATTTAAAAATAGAAACCTAAATTAAATGAGAATTAGTTTAAAAAACAGATATTTAAACATTTGAAAGTGAGAAATATAGTTTTAAAATTTTCGTTAAAGCTAAGATTAAAAAGACTAAGAATCGAATACAGTCTGTAACGTACAGAACCAATAGACAATAAATTTGTGATGATGTCAGAGGTCGTGAGCACACATAACTGATGTCACAAAAATTACGTCATCTCTGACATCATTTGTGATTTTTGCGACTTTTTGAGTCTACTTTTGCTACTTTACTTGAAACATTTCTGGCAACACTGATTTCCCCCTTCTCTCTAAAAAATAGTAAGATGCTTGCAATATATTTTTGATTGTCATATTGAGCATTATGTAAGATTCATGAAGAGTTATTAATTTTGAAATGTTGGAGTTCAGAAAGATTTATATTAATCATATTACTATTCGTGCAATACAAAAGGAAAATAACCAAATTAAAAAGACAATATAAGGTTATTGCAAATCATTAGACACATTTAGAAATTTATTTTCATATTCTTATCTTGCATATATGTTTAAAGCTGTAAACTTTTTACATAAACTGATCGTCCTTTTATTAATGTATATACTATACATAGTAGCCTACTGGCTTTTAGTGTTGAGAAATGGCACGAGAAATACTATACATTTCTATTTTCAATGCTCAGTTTTAATTAAGGCCCATGAATTGACTAATTTCATATGAAAAGGCTATCTTTGAAGAACTGAGTAATCAATTTTGGTTTAAAAATTATTTCCTGTTGTAAAAACTAACGACTATTTTCTTTTTCAGAGCTTTATTATGATAAAGGTAATCATCATGAATTCACTTCATTAGTTAAAGACCTTGCAAGACCTGGAGAACTGTGCCAGAATACAACATATGCCTTTGAATTTGTGAATGTGGAAAAACCGTATGAATCATATACTGGAGCCAATGTCAGATTAAGGTAAAAGTCATTGCACATACTGGTGGCTTACAAAATATGAACACTGATATGAAAATGGGCTATGAATTGCCCTTAACCAAGCCATCTGTTGGCTGTGAAGGTAGAGCAATCAAATGCTGTTTATGTCAGACTTCTGTGACTCCTCCCCTAAAAAAATAATAAAAATAAAAAAAAAAAAAAAAAAAAAAAAAAAAAAAAAAAAACCCATGATCAGTAAGAGCTTGCCTTGCTTGTTAAAACATAAGCAGGGCTGCTGAAAACAGCCAACCATGTAGAGCATGGCTAGAGCACTTTGTTAGTTATTATGACTGTCTAATCAAAACGAGTTATTTTCAAAGCAACAAAGTAGATGGTTAAAATTAAAACTCACTGTCAAGATAGATAGGTTTTGAAATGGTTAGTAGCATGAAAGTAAAAAAAACGGATTCCCACATCTGAGATGGGTCATGACATTATGGATTGCAAGTGATTTTGTGTGAAATTGATAACTACAGTACCTACTACTTATTAAGATCGTTTCCATTCCAGGCATATCCAAATTTATTAAGCAGCTGAGTTTAATAGATGACAATTTGATTAATGTGAATTGTGATGTCAGTTTTAAATACATCTATTAAGACAGTAACTAATAATCAACACCTAAAATAATAATTACAGATTAATGTTAAAATGAAACTATTTGTACAATTTGGAAAGTTTAAAAATATGTTTTAAAAAGTTTATGGACCAAGGTTTTGGTTTCTGAAAATGTAAATGCAATGAATGGCTGATTTTTTTAACCAGTGAGTATATAATAATAAGTGGCAAGTACTATATTTTTATTTCTTGTAATAATATAAGTATGCTGGTATCTTAAATTGGAATTTATTTCTGAAATTATTTTCAGGTATTTCCTACGTGTTACAATAGTTCGCAGAATTTCAGATATTGTTAAAGAAATGGAAATAATCGTGCATACATTGTCATCGTATCCTGAAATAAACTCTCCTATCAAAATGGAAGTTGGCATTGAAGATTGCCTTCATATTGAATTTGAGTATAATAAATCTAAGTGAGTAATTTTTCTTAAGTTTTAATTTATTTAAATGTTTGACTTTTGAATAGGCATCAATTCTAGTTCTGAATGATTCTGGAGGCTCTGTGCTGAATATTTTCAGAGCTTTGGTATATGTGGACTGCTAGTTGTTTGTCTTTACGAGCTTGTCATATTATTTAAAAGAGGAAACTAGGAACTCTGTGAAATCAGCTAGTCAGTTTCCAAAAGCTTGTCATTTTAAGAATAGCTAGCTTATCATGATGATAGAATACTTCTTGTGCTGGTAGAACAAGGATAAAAATAGTATGAGAAAAATCCAAACATAAAACTTGGAAAAAAATTTTTCTTTAACTGGTCCTATACGCCATATTTAAATCCGAAAATCAAAGGAAGTCCGCTAGGTGTTTATTAGTTATTGAAGAACTGATGTGTTTATTAGTTGTTGATGAACTGATGTTGAAATCTGTTCAGAAAATAAATAAATAAATAAAATAAAACCCATACTTCAGAATTATGTAATTTGGAAAACATTTTTTGCCTGCAAATGACTCATGATGTTACAAAAGTTCGTGGTGAGCCCACACACTGCTTTATTAGGAGGATTTTCTTCAAAGAAAGTTTTCATTTCTTCCCACTTTGCCAACACTTCTTTAATTATACTGGAAGAGAGGGTGTCAACTCCTGTTCCCTCCTTCACTAAACGAAAACTTACCGTCTCTTGCTGTGAAGTTCTTTAAGCTCGTCTGTTATAAATTCTTCACTATGCTCTTTCGCTAACTCATCCGGATCAGTATCATCCACATCCAGACCCATACTTTTCCCATTTCTTCGACTAGTTGGGTTATGTTGTTCACAGGTTGAGGATCGAAACCTAATTTATTAATACTTTGAGACAGGGCCTGGACAAGGGTGAGGCACTTGCCTCAGGTGAACAAATAGAAGAGGCGCCAAATTTAGCTATTCGATCAAAAATTCAGAAAATTATTTTTAAAACTTATGATTTTTAACTTCTAATTTCTGAATACAACAGTGAATATTAAAATAACTTTGTGTTATAAACAATGCAGCTAAAAAAAGAAAGAAAAAAGTAATAGCATTAATTTATTCTCAAAAGACATGAGCTTTCACAGCAGTGTATTTAATATTTTGTAACATTAAAATTTGTTATTGAAAGTAGCTTAAGCTCTTTATTTTGTCACAATAAACTTGCCAAAGTACATTAACTGAACATAGACGGCGACATAACTGCTGAGTTTTGCAATTTCATAAATGCCTTCTGGAATAGCATCCGAACGATAAATAAGGTTGATTGAAAATGAAATATACCATATAATTAGTTATCGCACTTTTTTTCTTTTTAGTTCAAAGGGGCTTTGTCCCTGAGGGACGATAGTTTACGTTTTGAGATTTTGCGTCAAATCACAAGAATATCCATTTCACTTTTCAATCTGTTGCCACCAAATATTATTGCCCTATATTTGAAGAAATTAAATAATGAAGAATCTGCATAAATGTATGTATGTTTCTCTCATTGTGATAAAACAACAGTACCTAGAGCCATCAAATTTTGAATGACGTAATCCTACTGCGAATATGGGCATCTAGAAGCCCAAATTTGAAATTTGGAATTTGTTTTATTATCGATTTCATATTTTGTAAAACTTTAATGAATTTTTGATTAACAAACTTAAGGATTTCAAAGCAAGCAATGGCAACATTGTACAGAAAAAGCATTTTATCTTCGGCCCCTGAGACTGTGTATCGGAAATTCTAAAGATGTGCTCAATTTAAAATTATTTTGCAAAATTGCTCTTGAACTGAGTTTTATGAAGAACATGATATTTAATAAATAAAGGTTACACACAAAATGTTAAAAAAAATGCCCCTTTGGACGTAATTTTCTTTTTTGCAGTTTTTCCTTTTTTTTCAACAAATTCAAGCATGTTAATTTTTTTGGCACTGTACAGAGGATTTATAATTTTTTTTGTATCTTCAATGAGTAGATGGGATGCATTTATGTCCATTTTGAAAACAACATTAAAAGGTCTACAAATACACGAGGGTCATCTAGAGCAAATGGCTGTTAAAGAATTAGATCTGCAAATAACAGAACTACATAGATTATTGAAAGGTATGGCATTAAATCACAAGTCTTTGCAATGGGCTGAAAATAACAGCATTTTGAAAAAAAAATCAATTCAAAATTTTTATGTCTATCTGTGTGGAAAATAATATTGCAAGAAATCGAAAAAGTAAATAAAGCCTTGCAGGCAAAAATGATAACTGTCTATAAAGCCAGCACACTTAATAGAGAGACTGTCTTTCATTACATGAAATGAGAGAAAATATTTCTCGATGCATTTTTGAAAAATGTAAAACTTCAACTTTAGAGTAATGTAGACTTAGAGTATGTAAAACTTCAACTATATCATCAGAATTTGAAGAGAAACAAAAATGAAAAGTTAATAAATCAAATTGGGAGGAATCGATATAAATTGTAGTTTTTCCAAAAAAATATTTTTATTGAAATTGAAGTGTTCGACATTTTAATTTCACAATTAAAGTGGCGATAATCTCTTTGGATTTTCAGTTTCTAACTAGTGAACAATTGATGTCATTAATAATAATATTAATTTAAAGGCAGCAGCTTATAACTTGGCACTTGAATATCCAAGTGATAATGAACGCTGAAGGAATTCAGCCAGAATTACCTAGTTTTAAAAAAACCATGCTATTTCAATAATTCCGGACACAAAAGCTACAAGCTTAGAGCTTTTAAAAATAATTTACGATTATAATTTATTTCACTTCTATCCGAATTTGGAAACAGCATTAAGAATTGCATTGCAGCAACATTGCATACCTGCCAACTTTTACGAATTTTTCGTAATTTTTACGAAAATGCGTTTGTCTTTACGATTTTACGATTGTAATCCATTTTTTACGATTTTTTCCCCTTTTCAAGTGTTTTTAGTGATTTTTGTCGAAATTTTAGAATTTTTCGCCAATTCAGCGATTTTCGCCAATCGCATCGTGTTTTACCGCCATTAGCTACCCGATTACTTCGAATCCAGTAACCTGCGGTTTCTCCCAACTCGCCGCTTAACCAGCCAATCCAATGCGCTGAACTTGTTTCTCCCACTCTTTTCTTTGTGGGCGCCAGATTATTTTTTTCGCGTGGATTGCTTCACCAGCAAGGCAATTTTTTTTTTTTTTTTCAGCGTTGCATGGATTGTTTGAATTCTGTTTGCTACGAATTTTCTTAATACCGTCGTTGTTACAAAATATGAGTTCAAAAAAACCGTATTCTTCAATATTTCGGCCTGCCTACAAAGCCGAATTTCCAACAATTAAAGAATCCTTTAAAAGAAATAACTATGCATTTTGCAATGTGTGCGTGTGTGACTTCATAATAAGTCACGGTGGAAGAAGAAGCGACATTGTGAAGCATTGTTAAGTCTAAAAAAGCATTCGACAACGTCTAGCAAGTTAATGCTTCGGCTTCGACAACGTCAAAGAAAGTGGATGATTTTTTTTTCAAATTCGGGTTTTCATCCGCAGAGAATCTGTTGGCGCTTCGGGAAAGAACCCGTTCATATCCGGAATGGGTTCCTAATTTATTCTCGTAATTCCACACAGTAATGCTGAGTGCGAGAGAGTCTTCAGTGTTGTGAAGAAAAACAAAACTATGTTTCGTTCTTCAATTTCACCAAAAGCTCTAGAAAACATTTTAATTGCTAAATGTTATGAGAATAACTAATGTTATGACAGGAAATTTTCCAAAGAATTTTTGGCTAAAGCCAAAAAAATGCACTCTAAATTCATTGCAATAATTTTTTTTTGTGTAACATTAAGTTCTTGTTTTATGTTTCCTAATAAATTTTTTAGTTACTACTTAATTGAGATTTACTAAAGTAAGTGCAATTTTCTTTTTTCTATTTGTATAAATTGTTATTTTTTTAATATCAAAGCATGATATTAATTCTTCGTGTTCTGAATTTTGGAGAAATCTTCTGAATTTGGGGAAGAAATCTTCTGAATTTTTATCTTTAGAGGTTGGCAGGTATGACATTGCCAGTTACTGTAGTTAGTGGTGAAAGAAGCTTTAACAAACTTAAAATAATAAAGAACTATATACTTTTAGTTAGTTCCTACAAAGAATATCAGGTACACATAATCCTAAGGTAACTGTTGCTCATCTGAGATATTTTCATGCATTAATTTTTTTTTTTTTTTTTGTTTCTGGAAAAAAAAAAAAAAGTTAAACGAGGAGGATTGCCATGAAACTTCAATATAACCTTTTTAAATGTCATACCTCCTTCATGTCATACAGTGTTTAGCTACTGCACTATTTTAATGCACTTGAAAGTGGTACATGTGAAAGCCATTCATCTACCCATCTCAGTTAGTTTGCTAATTGCGATCCTATTAAATTATTATCAAAAGTGTTGCCACCAAAAATTGTGCAGTTGAACATTTTCATCTCCTATCTGCATATCGAGGATATCTTAAAGTTCAGGAACTGCCAACTATATGATGATTGCTTTCGTTTTCAGAAAGTGATTTTCTAAGTTAGTATCCCATCTTCTTACTGACCTGCAAAGGGAGAGTTATGGGGACTAGTGTAAATCTGTGTTTACAACATAATTTAAAATCAAAGTGTTTTCAGAAATCATTCTAGATAATGACTCATGGACCAAAAACCATTTGGTGGTATGGTCCTTTTCTTGTGGATTCTTCCAGTACATACACGCTAAAGAAAAGTGAAAAGCACGGGTGAAAAATGGTCGCATTTCTTGTTTCCAAAAGTGGCCATTTTTAAACTGAGAAGCTGAATATGCTTGCTACAATGAAATAGTATGCATGTGTCTATATACTGTCAGTGCGTGATAAATCGTGACTGAAGATCCAGATGTGATCTTTGAAAACTGCATTGCAGATATGTTTGATGTGCATAGTTGCAAGGTCTAAGGAGTTTATATAGAGGACAGAAAGCAGCAATTCTGTTATGCCTGCTAGATTCACTTAACTCCTTACTCGTTGCGCCCGTCTCTCGTATGGGCTACCGATAAATTTTGTCTTTTCCACATCTTGCATGGGCTCTACTTTTGCAATAAAAAGTCAAGGGGATACAATTTTCATCGTGCCCGTATCAATTCTATTTACACAGATGGCAGCACAGTACTTGTGAGTTGATTATATAACAGCAAAATTTTGAGAATGAATAAATTTTGCGACGAGTAAGGAGTTAATTTAGACTTGTTAGATTCCCCCCCTTTCCTTTCATTTGTGTAGAAGGAGCTGATTCAAAACTAGTTTTCCTCTTATCTTAAATTTTTGTGAGTCTTTCATAAAACATACAAATAAGTATAGGAATCATATTTAAAAACTGATTGATTGTTATAATAAAAGTTGTAGCGATTTTTTATGTTCTATAAATGAATTGATTATATATTTTCTCTTGCAAATATTTACTTTTTATGACTAAAAACATCTACCAAAGAATATAGAAAACATTTTTCTTGAAGGTATCATTTGAAAGATGTGATTGTTGGCAAAATATATTTTCTTCTGGTTCGTATTAAAATCAGACACATGGAAATAGCAATAATTAAGAGAGAAACAACAGGCTCTGGTCCAAATTCCTACAGTGACAATGAGACAGTGGCTAAATATGAGATAATGGATGGGGCTCCGGTAAGAGGTAATAGAACTTTACATGTTTTATTTAGCATTTTATAGTATTTATAATATGTCTTGTCTTGAATTATATTAATTAGATGCTTTCACTGGACTTTAAATTATATATATTATTTTTTATTAATTAAAAAATTTTAAGCTCTTAGTTCAGGAATATAATGCATTACTAAAGCAAAGTATTAAGTTTCCATCTTGTGAGTATTTCCATAATGCATTTTTAGGCATTTACTGCCTTTTTTGTATATTTGTAAAATACTTGCTTTTTAATTTATTTCAAAGCATGTAATGGTTTCTAATGCATATTGATTTGTTAATATTCTTAATATAAATAAAATAAATTCATGTAGTGACAGTAACTATTAATATTTCAAAAAGAGCAATTAGAAGAGAAACGTGCGAGGATAAAATACAAATAAAGCAACCTTAGTGTGATGTAGATTTGGAATGAAAAATGTGAATTTTTAGGAAAATAAAAATGAACTTGTATCATTAGCAAAATATTTCTTCTTTAGTTAATTGACTTTAATTAAGTAGAGTCCTGGCATATATTTGCAGAATTCTAATATCTCAGTTTTTTTATATTTCATTATTATTTTTCTCAACAGGTGGTGCTGTGTTCATTTTTGCTTTGCTATGCCCATTGCTTTTGATGTGAAGTGTATGTTGCACCTCCCATTTTTGCTGTAATTTTTTTGCTGCTGAAGAGGTACCTGGTTCTCTTCGCACTAAAAATCAGTAGTTTACTTTTCCCTATTGATTTTAAACTGATGCTGTATTTGGCATTTTCCATATGGTTTCATGTCACCTTAGCAATCAGTAATGTAAAATTAAAGGTTTGGGGAAGGGAACGAATTTATGAATTTTGCACTGCAGGGAAATTCTTAAACAATTCCATCATTTGGACAAACATCAACATTTTACACTGTGTACCACATGTGAAACTGATTTTTTTAAATAATTCTTAGCACGGTTACTACGCCATCTGTCATCGAGTGTGAGGAAGTTCTAAATGTCTCGCTAAATATTTGGCAGTGTACCAGCGGCCTGTTTAAACTCCTTCCCTAGTGGGAAACTTTTCAAAGTATTTTTCTTTTTTTGGGGGGGGTGGACTTTCCAAGATAAAAATTTTAGTTCACATGTGTAAAATTGTTCATAATACAAAAAAGTGTTTAAACATGCATGTAACAAATACAGTTAAATATCAGACGAGATAAATACAAGTACTTTTCAAACAAACGTTTAAAATAAACACTCAAATGTGAATGTTTTGTTCTTGGGAAAACATTTAAACTATGACATTTTAAACTTCCCTAGACGTATGTAATATATGTATGTAATAATTTAATTGCGTAGAAGACACCAGTACTTACAGAGCAGATGAATTTAGGGGGAGCATGTAAGATATAACAAAATACGATGGCTTCCTTAAGAATAGTTGATGATGCCAAAACTAATGATTCTAGATTTTATGCTCTTCCCCCTAAATTCATCTGTTCTCCTAAATTCGAGAGCTTTCCAAGTTACATAACACTTAATGCAGATATCTCTTGTCCAATCAAAATAATTGTAAACCGAAACTTTTTAACTCGAGCTGAAACGTTTTGACTTCCTCCCTTCTTCCTTTGAATTGCAGCTTCCTTTTTCACTTCCGCTTAAACTTTCCTCCTTGCCAGATGCTTTGCTGCTATACTTAACTCACCTAAAATGATGTCATACTTTAAAACCCGTGTATTTTAAATACTTTAAAACCCGTGGAAATTATTGTATTCAATTATGATTAAAAAATATCTTGTCTGCAAAAGGATGATTTGATATGTTTAGAAATAAAGATTGTGATACTTCAAGCTCAGTTGTGTTAAATGAGTCATCATGTCTTTCCGCTCAGCCTTATCTAGAGCCACGAGCTGCTAAAAAGTACCAAATTCCTTCATCTACGCATTAAAACATGACATATATATATATAATAGGATTACTTGAACAAAGCTGCAGCGACGATGGCTCTATGTGTTATAACTTGGAGAGGCTTTCCTGCACACTTAGAAAAATGACACTTGAAGATAGATGCAGCCATAAATTACACACATAATTTAATTCTGAGGACACTCTTTTTTATCATTTCGCATCATCAATGTAGGTGCACTATGCATCTTACAGTTCTACACAAATTATATTTTTAAAGCAATGGACAATAGCCAGCAGATGCTAAGTGAGCGAACTAGGATCTTAATGGGAAGAGAGCAAAAGCATGCAAATGTCTAACATGGAAGCTCACCAAGAGAAGCTTTCGGTTTAAGTTCCTTATTAAGAGAGTTTCAGTTCTTGAAATTTTGAGTTCAAGTTCTGAATTAGCTATGTCATCAGCTCTGTGCAAGTCATAAGAGATGGATTGATCTAGAAATGATGCAGTCCAGAATAAGTTATTACTATTTTTAGAATGGAGAGGGGAAATTAAGAGATTGCTAATTTAAATTATAATTTTGATTTACATATTTTTATGTTGGATATTCCTCTCTTCAAAGAGAGAATGGCTTGGTGACAGAAAAGCCTTCTTAGCAAAAGCATTAGAGCAGTAGTAAAGAAATTTTGTACAATATGTACAGTTATACGCGAAAGCGAATGAAGGGCGTCAGGAACATAGTACTGAGATTTCACTATGACCTGTCATTTGGTTTACCAACTCTTTCATATCTAGATACATAAAAATCTATTAAAAATATAATTTCAAAATCAGAATATATAAAAACATGTAAAAAGTGCAATTTAGAAGTATGAAAACAAAATGATATGAATGAAAAATTCAAATTGAAAATGGAAATTATGGAAAGTTTGTGTAAAGATAAAAATAGTTCTGCATTCAAGGTATTTTTCATGATTAAGATGTATAAAGTTCTTGAAAAGATATATTCTTTAAAAATTAGATTTTTAATACATTAATTGCTGTTTCATAAAATAAATGAATAAATAAATAATTTATTCCAAGAGTATAGTAATTTATTCCAACACTGCCCTCCAAAGGTTAAACAGCATGTTTTTCAAAGATCACAATTTCAAATATCAGTAATGTTTAAATTCACAGTTCATATGCATGACAGTAACAAAATTTATGAAAATATATTCAAAAACAGTAGTTAACACTTTTATTTTATACAAATGAATACTGTTGATTCTTGTTATTACAGTTTCATGGACGATGTCGAGAAGAAGTCGTTTGCCCGATTAGTTGAGGTGGCAGGCAATCAAATGGTAAACGGGATGTCAGCAGCTGGATGCTGCTAGACGTCTCAATGTCTCTCGTAGTGTGGTCCATCGACTATGGAATCAATTTGAATCTGAGGCTTCTGTGTCTAGAAGACATGTTCCATGCAGATTTAGAGTTACAACACCTGTGACAAACCGATATTTAGCTCTTTCAGCCCGGAGGAGGAGTAACATTACTGTGCCTCAGCTCAAGGCAGATCATTTAGAGGCAACAGGAACCTCAGCTACTACTGTGCACTGACACTTGCACAATACAGCTCTGTATGCAACACAACCAGTTATTTGTGTCCCCTTGATCTGAGGACACAGAGGTGCTTGTCTTGGGCAAGAGAACACGTCTCCTGGACCAGTCAACAATTTGTGTCTGTTCTATTAACAGACGAGTCCAGGTTCACATTGGAGGGTGATTTAGGGTCATCAACTGATCTGGAGGAAACAATGTGCCAGATACAACGAATCCCACATTATGGAAAGATGCATCTGATAGACAACAATGCACGGCCACACTGAGCTTGAGTTGCTGAAGAATGTCTTGTGGGTCATGATATGGAGCGGATGGAATGGCCAGCTCAATCCCAAGACTTGAATCTGATAGAACATTTTTAGGACTATCTTGGGAGACAGGTTGCTGCTTTAAGTCCTCCTCCAAGGTTGTTAGATGAGCTTGAACAAGGACTACTCTGTGTCAGGTCATTGCTTCTTATTTCACTGACTGACAACTTAATTGACAGCATGAAACGACGCTGCCGCTAATGTACTGCAGCTAGGAGTGTACAAATTCCTTATTAGGAATTATTTTTATAATGTTACCATCCCATTTTTCCTCAAAAAACTGATATATTATTTCTCCAAGAGTGGATTTCTCTGTGAAGAGTGAAATTTTATGTTGTAATTCATGTTCGTGTTAAACTTTAGAAGCATTCTATGTCACATTCATTAAAGAACTGTTTAAGGAACGTCCTGCAAATTTCCTGTTTTATGTTACTTCATTCTCAAATTAGACACATAAAACATGCTTTTTCTTAACTTTTGGAGGGCAGTGTATTTGTTAAGAGTTTGAAGATATGTACTGTTATACTTGCAAAGTAATTATTATATGTATTCTTTCTAATGGCTGTTTTGAAATGGACTTCTTAAATGTTTTATTTCTGTGCGTGCTTTTGATGCATATACATTTTGAATTGATTATGCTTTGTATATGAGCTAAAAATAGGATAGAAACAGGTAAATAAATAGGGTATTATAATAAAAAAAATTCATCTTGAAGTGATCAATTTCAGTAACTTAGGAACTGAATAAGTGGCTTGTTTTTTCATGCATGTTATTTATTTTAATATATTGAATCTAATAGCTATTTATTTTCTTCAAGAGCTGTTCTGTTAAAAAAAAAAGTTATTTCTAAAGTTTGTTGGAATAATAATTTTATTTTGCATTGCAGGTGAAAGCATCCCAATACGTGTGTTTCTTGCAGGATATGATTTAACTCCAACCATGAAAGATATTAACAAAAAGTTTTCTGTTCGTTATTATTTAAACTTAGTTCTTGTAGATGAGGAGGATCGAAGATATTTTAAACAGCAGGTATGCTTAAAATTTTAGAATATGAGTAAATTGATTTTAAATTCATAAAAGTAAAGGACTTTATTATTTGTTTGATCTTCAAAGAACTTGTTTTTTTTATACTTGGGACATCTATATGATCAACTATACATCAACTTTTTATAGTTGGAACATCTAAATGTCCAGTGGAAGCAAAAATCTGTTATTAAAGCTTTTAAGCAACAATAACACTGCATTCAACACAGTAAAACTGAATAACCGGCAACACTAAATATAACTAGGAAGTCCTTGGAAAACCAAAAATAAATTTTGTACCCAAATTATTCAGTGTCAGACATAAACTCCACTAGCAAAGTCTATTTTAGAATATGTACTAAAGTAAGTCAGTATGCAATGACAAAAGTTGTGCAGTGAAGGGCACACTTTGATAAGCAGTTAACGAATTTAAGCTGCAAGCTAATTCTCTTGGCCGACAGAAACATTTATATCTGCTTTTTTTTTTTTTTTTTTGTAGATATGAGACCTTGATTTCTAAGCAAATCAGTGTTTCAGAATTACACCCTAAATTCTTCACCGAGTACTGGACCTTGTAGAGCTGTTTAGAGCACTAGTGCTATTTTTTTAAACACTATCATTCTTTATAGTCAGTTGTGTAGCTGTTTTTTTTTTTTTTAAATATGTCAGCCTTTTTTATCAATCTGCATGATTTTATTTTAACTGATAATTTAGGTAAGTGCCTTATAGTTAATTTTACTTCATTTCTATATTGCGCTAAAGTTCATCGATGTGTTTGTATATCTATGCATATATGTTTATTATATATGCATTTATGTATGTTTTACATATAAATTTCTTAATTTTGTAACTCTAAGTAACAACAAAATAATGGAAATCTAATTGTTCTAATCTGGTTATCTCTAAACTCCAGTTCCAAGATCAAACTGCAAGTCAGAACAATAAATCAAGGTAAAATGATAGTTGAAACAGGGATTCATGGCCACCTTTAAATATACTGAAAAGTCAAAACATTATGACCACCTATTCGTTAACGCGTTATACAGCGGTCACGCAAAGTCGAGATATTCCGACATGGTGGTGTTTCAGCTCTGATCTGCAGCTTCATGACATCCCAAATGTGCTTTATTGAGTTAAGATCCGGCAAGTTAGGTGGCCAGGACATTAAATGGAATTCATCCTTATGCTTCTTGAACCACTTCAACACAGTTCGAGACTTGTAACATGGGGCATTGTCCTGCTGGAAGATTTAAGTTCCAGTTGGAAAGAGAGACGTCATGTAAAGGTGCAAGTGATCTGCAATAATCTTCAGATAGTCCACAGCTTTTGTGGTCTGTTCTATCACCAATAAAGGTCCCAGAGCTGCTGATTAGATCATCCCCCAAAGCATAATACTGCCACCCTTAGCCTGTGTATGACATGCTGTACAGGGTGAGCAACTGTTCCCCTGGAAGACGGCGTACCCTGACGTAACCGTTGGCATGACGAATGAGAAATCATGATTCATTCGACCAGGCAACCACTTTTCCATGGTCCAGTCTCAATGCTCCTGGGCCATAGTTGACAATGACGCTTGAGCAACTGAAGCACACGAGTGGTACGTATGCTGTGCAGCCCCACATCCAATAGTGTCTATTGAACTGTGTATTCAGAAACACTTGCATTTGGACCTGCACTGTATTGGGCTGTCATCTGAACCGTCTAGCATCGATTTTGCTGTACCAAGCAGGACAGTCTCCAATGTCCTTTTTCTTTGACGATACATGGACATACAACACCTTGGCATTTATTACTAGTCTCATCATTATTTATCCACTTTGCATAAATACTTACAATGGCAGATCGTGAACAACCTACCAGTCATGCAGTTTCAGCAATACTCATTCTGAGTTTTCTGGCCATTACAATCCATGCTCTATCAAACTCGCTTAGATCAGCAGCCCTTCCCATTACTCACAAAAGTAAGTGCAAGAACGACAGCAGTTAAATAACATTCCCACTTAATCACATGTCCTCCATATCATCAAGAAAAATTCAGTTGGGTTCAATTTCCAGTTGGGACGACACGCCATGTAAAGGTGCAACTCGTATGCAGTTATGATCAGATAGTCTGCAGCTTTCATGGTCTGTTCTACCAAAACTAAGAGTCCCAGAGCCACCCATGAAAACATCTGAAAGCATAATTCCACCAGCAGCAGCCTGTGTATGACATGCTGTACAGGGGGAGCAACTCTTCACCTGCAAAACTGCGAACCAACACGACCATCGATGTGATGAAGGAGAAATCATGAATCGTTTGACTAGGCAACTGTCTTCCACTTATCCATATCCCAGTCTTGATGTTCCCGGGCTCACTGTAGGCAAAGTTAACAAATGATGCTTGGCCAACAAAGGCACACGAGTCAAACATTTGCTGCACTGTCTCATATCTAACTGTCCACTGAACTGTGTATTCCAAAACACTTGTATTTGGACCTGCTTGGTCTTAGACTGTCAGCTGAGCCACTGCTGAGATTTTGCTGTACCAGGCAAGACAATCTCTGACATCCTTTTTCTTTGATGATGCATAGACACGTTAGCGTCTACTGGTGCTTTCACCACCATTCATCAACTTTGCATAAATACTAACAATGGCGGATCATGAACAACCTACCAGTTGTGCAGTTTTGGAGATACTCGTTCCGAGTCTTCGGGCCATTACAACCTGCCCTCTATCAAGCATGCTTAGATCAGCTGCCCTTCTTATAACTCGCAAAAGTAAGTACAAGAATGATTCCTTATCTTCTCCGACAGCAGTTAAATAACATTCCCACATAGTCACATGCCCTTCACGTCATCCAGACGAATTCGTTGGAAAATGCAAGCATGTTCATAATGTTTTGACTTATCAGTATAGTTTACTTTTTTCTAATATAGGCTTCTTCTATGTAATGATAATAGAGCATTCCTGAAATCTCTTGCAAATTGATCTGGTTTAAAGTACAGCTAGTATTAATTTTTATGGAAATGACTCACCGCCTCAGATCCAAAAAGTAAATAAAACCCAGGTTTTTGTCCAAAAAGTAAATGAATATCCAATTAAATCAATAAAAAATATATAATATCTAATATATTAACAGAAGTAATAATTTCTGTGTAAATACAGAGTCCAATTAAATAAAAATACACTCACTTTCAAAAGTTAAGCACGGAGAGGAAAATGCTAATTTCTGGAAGCCAATCAGAAATGAAGAAGAGGATACAATTCGCTGCAGAGGTAGATGGAAGTATGCAAATATGTTAGGTAACAGCCAATCATGGTTTCATGTCAAGAAATATGCAAGAAAGGCAGTCTTATAAGAAGCCAGCTTTATGAAGGGTTACAGAAGTTGATTGTAAGTGCTGATAGAAAGTGTTTAAAACTTTCGTACAATTTGTTTTTAAGACATGCGTGTTTCTATGACTTTCAGAGCACGAATGGAAGAATAATAACATAGAAATTTCTTCTTAAACAATTCCTTTTATAATGAAAAAAAAAATCTGGAAGTTTTCTTTGAAAAATGAGGGGCCTAAAAAACTAAACATAGCTAAAATATATGGACGAGTTTGTGTTCAGCTACTTTAAATGAAGGTTCAGAGTAACCTATGAATCCTTTTTCATTAAATTTTTCTGTGTGTACAGAAGGAAATTTTTAGGTGCCACAAAGCATTGAAGAAATCTAGTGGTTTTACTTGACATTTACCAAACTCGCTCAGCATTGAGTTGGGGGCATGAACCCTTCGATATTTAATTTATCAAAAATTAATCTTCATAACAGAGTAGTTTTACTTCCTGTGTCAATTAACACTGTTAGGCATACATCATTAATTTTTATTTCTTTGGTCAACTTTGATACTACATCAATATTCACAGTTGCTACTTCTGATTTCAAATTCATCTTTGAGCATGCGAAACTTTGGTCCCCAAATTCTTTATATTTAAAACAAGTGATGCCCTTATCTTTATGAACACACTGGAACTGGAGTTATGTTTGGAAATATGACCGCTTTCACCGGAGTTGAAACAGATTGTATTACATTGATTCTCTGGAATTTTTTTCTCATCTATCAGTTATGTTGTGCTTTGTTTGGTTAAAATTTTTTGTGTCAGATTTATTTCTGGACTAATTTTTGTTTACTTTCAGATTTTGTTTTTGGCATTCGTGCCTTTTCCTCATCACCACATACCTGCTGATAAAGCTTAAATTTCTTTATTGTTTGTGACCCATACAGGCAAGATTTTTAAACACATAGCATAGCCTGGTATACCGTCTATAACATATCGTATTAAGCAACATCTTCAGTTTGACCATTTTTAGCAATTCTTTTCATATATGAAAAAAACTGATCAAATGTTTCATTGCTCTTCATTTTTTGTTTCGATTATAACTTGTGCAGTTCAGCCGAATTGCAGCTGGGCTGGAATTCATCAAGAATAGCATTCCTAAACACTTGCCATGAGTTCAACTTTGGTTAACTAAGAACAAATACTTTTGCCTTGCCTGTCTTGAGGCGTTTAGCAAAAATCTGTTTCTGTTAATCATTTAATTGATGAATGGAAGCTGCATCTTCTGAACTTTCAACCTAACTACTGACACTTTCATGGCTTTGGCCATCAAATTGAGCAACAAAAGATTTCACGTCTTCAGTACTAACATTTATACTACAACTATGAAATACATTCGACTTGTTCTCAGTTGTACTAAGAATATATATTAGCACATTGGAATGGAACTTGTCTCACTGTTGCACCAGAATTGTTTCTTAGTTTTGTTTCATCTCAAACATTATCATCAGTTTCATTTTTATCCTCACCCTCTAAATCAGTTTCATTTTCACTTTCTTCTAAAATTACATTATTTTTAAGCAGCTGTAAATTATTCAGATAAGAAACAATTCAGGTTGCTAAGTCATCTTGTGTGACAGAATTATCAATACATAAAATATTGCCAATGGAAATTAATTCATGAGCCTGAAAATCTTGTTTG